TATTCGTACATCTCAGTATCTTTCACTTTAGTTTCTTTATTCATTTCCCCACCCTTCACAACATGTAAATAGTTTCAGGTTATTCAAGAGCGCCATTTATTTGTATGTTGGTGAATCTCTAGCTGTGCACAAACTGAACTGGAAGGAACAACAACAGCCGATTGTTACATGAAACTTTCCATGAGTGGTGCCAACTTGGAACCTTCAACTCAAGGAAGTATCAGGCGTTGCAAGTTTGCAGGTGCATCCTGATCCTCTGCGTGCTACTGAGTATAGTAAAATTGAACGAGGTCCACAAAACTGAAGGAGTAGAGGGGAGGGTTACCAGCAAGCCATGAGAAATGCCACAACAAAGGTACACCGCTATTTCATCTTTACTTCCTGGGGAGGCAGGCAGACAGACATCTGTATCGGATGGCTCTCAGACTGGAATATTCGCTGATGGTATAGACAAAATGTAGAAAACAGAATGAACTAATAGTTTAGAGAAAATAGCTGGAACATTAAGTTCTGACACCATATTGTCCCTTATTAAATAAAAAAGGATGCATTTTGCAATATATGAACAAGTCGATAAATAGTCTGAAGTAAAACTAAATCACTTGACTAAAAATTTATATGCAAGTTTACATGACTTGGTGTATCAGCCTCAAAAAAGTACAGTGTTAGTAGTGATTAGTGATTGTATAATCTGTTCAAGGGAGAACCTCAAACTAGTGAGACTAAGATGTAGTTTACAAAGTTACATGAAAAATCGTTTTATTTGCAGCCAGTGTTAGTTTTAGTACTTGTCGCAAGGGCTGAAACTGAACAGCTCAGGGTTGAAAGACAATGCAATAGTGTCTTTTATAGTTAGTTTCTTAATAGCTTAACACTGAGGCAATAGTTGATTAATGTTACAACACTGCCTTCATATATTTTCTTAACATAAAATATAAGACTGTATTGAACAGAAAGTTGTTCCTACTGAGATCTTCTAACAGTTAATTGTGGGAAGCACAAAGATTGCCTAAGGAATTTTCAACATCAAGAGCCTCTTGAAAATGGGATGACATAAGATGTAGTTAAATATGTCTTCAGACAGGAGAGGACTACCTGATTTCTTGGTGTTCCTGATGTTTTTAAGAAGGCAACTGACAAATTCCAGTGATAGATTATTATTTCACTCGTAAGTAAATTCAGTTTGGAGTACTTTATAGCAACATGTCTGCTAGTTGTGAACTACTCTGATACTCTCCAGTTCCATTCCTGTGCTGGTTAGCAACATACCTGGACCAGCTCACTTGTCTGTGTGCTCTCCACTCTTGCAGAGCTGTGCTTACTGGATCTCACCTTCCTGGTTGGATGGGGATGCGCTGCCAGCTTTGGTTTACATGTAACTGAACACTAGGATTTTTGTTCTAGCTTTGTGCCAGCTGTAGATATGCTAGGTACTGAATCTCTTTGTCTTTGGAAGAGAAAATGTCGGACACAAAAACTGTTAGCTTGCTCAAGACCTAATAAATCTGGATTTGCTATATGGACTGCTTAAACCAGACCGCTTCAGTGATTAAATGGGAAAAACAATTTGCACTCCAGAACACTTTGGCAATTAAATTTTTCAAAACCTTCCTATCTAATATTTTTCTCAGTTGTTTAAGCCTTGTTTGGCTTCTATGGAATGTTCAGTTTATAAACCTGGGATCTTCTCTTTAATTACCCTACTGAAACTTGTGACCATTTACAAATCTACATACATTTGCAGTGCTGTAAACCTGCCTGAACTCTTGACGCTGTGACTCTCTCCTCCAATGCTCCTGTCAACAGCGGCAACCTTTCTTATCAGCAGACGTGTTCATTCTTTTGGCAGGATCCTTCCCATGGATGAGGAGGTCTTCAGCGCAGTGATGGATAGCAGTGCTAATATTTGAACTACAACAAGAAGAGAACATTCTCAGAAACATTACATATGCTGTTTAGAGTGCTATTGAGTAAAACACTTGTGATCCTGGCAATTTTGCAGTCAGCTTCTGCACTTGTAACTCAAAAGCACTTCCTGGTTTATTGTGAAGCAGTAATTGAGCAAAAAAGTAAAACTGAACCTCCTTTGCAAGGACAAAAATGCCTTGATGAAATCTAAACGTCTGTTTTACCTCTTATGCTGCACCAGTTGTCACAAAGTCTACAAAATTCAGATTGTGTGACTAAGGAGGGAAAAGCTGTGAATAAACTTTTCCATCTCTCCTCTACTTGCTCCCTTTTTCTCTTCTAATCCTCATCCTAATGCGCACAGATTAAAAATGCATGAAAACAAAAATATTTGCGAAGCTGTTATGCTTTATAGATCCTGTGCTTGGTCTGTTACTTTAGGTTGTAAACATTTTCAAGTCAGGATTATATTTCCCCTACATTGGCACAGTTGCACACAGGGCTTTTAGCAGCTACTACATGTTAGCCTTTTTTTATTCATTACTACAAATAAATCTTAAGCGATGCATCATAAACCTTGAGATATATGTATTACATTAATAGATAAGGTATAATTTACTCTGTGGCAACTTCCTCTGTTGATTTTATCACTATTCTTTATTTAGATTATTATTTGAGTGAATTTATGGACAACTAAAGTTCCAAGCAAGTAGTTATTCAACTTCTACACTCAGTAATCTTTGTAACTGAACTGTCCACAGTCAATGGTATATGAGAAATAGACACAGGGACAGATTAAATGGAGTTTAGTTCTTACAGAGGAGTCTGTCAAAGGAGTCCTTAAAATATATTACTGCAAAAAGTGAATAGAGACCTTGGCACAGGCATTTTGAATTGTAGTTAAGTATCTTCAGGCAGTTTATAGAAATTTACATTTTGGACAAACGACAGCTAATCCTTACAACCACGCACCTCTTGCATTTGGAAAAGAAAAAAAAGTGTGTTTTTTAAAGAGCCGCCGTAAGATGCTGCTTGTGTTTCCAGTCTGCAGAAAGCGAGCCGGCTGGGGCCGCCCGGCCGCCTGCGGCGGCTCCTGGGCAGGTTGTCCCTACAAGTGAAGAGGGGCAGGGATCTCACGGGCAGCTGAACCCGCGCAAACACGGCTGAAGGCCGCGGGGAGGCGGACGCGAAGCCGGTGAAGACTTCACCCGCCCACCCTTCTTGGAGGCCATCTCGTCCTCCCCACCGCGGGGAGCGATGAAAGGGCCCGGGGTTCCCCCAGCGCCTCGGCGCGGGAGGCCTCCCACAGGCAGGGCCGGCCTGACACGCCGAGAATTTTCTCTCCCTCCTTAAGCGTTAGCTCTGCAGCCGCCGTTATTAAAGGCAC